TTTTTTTTACTTGCTAAGGGGTTTTCATTCCTGGCAGGCGGTCAGGGGGCTCGACCCACTAGCATAGCGTAAAACGGTGTGTGGCGGCCGTTTCTTTTAAAAAAGACATATAAAGAATCCTTTTTTTTTTCTTTCAGAAATGCAAAGAAAACAAGGCCAACGCTATGCCTCCACACTTCCCCCAACCCGATACATCTGCATGCGACCTTCCCGCCGGCCTGTTCGCAGTCTTCCATGGAAATCTCAATATTCTCAATTTCTGCGAAAAAATTAGCAAGGCGCGAGGCTTCAAAAACAATCCCCCCTTCCCTCTAAAAAAAAAAAACATAGGATTGAAACTTCGCCCCAACGCAAAGTGGCCAACTAAATGGCCAACAAATGCTTAAGAAAAAGATTCTACTGGCCGACAGGAAGCTGCATCCACGAAAACAAAGACAATCCACACTAGCAGTGGATACACGAAATGATCAAAAAAAATAAAAATAAAAAATGATCAACGACTCACGCATGTCACAGACCGCCGCACGTGGTCGAAAACGGCGGAGCACAAGCGTAAATCGGACGTAGTGGGAGGAGGCCCCAGGAATGAAAACCTATTCGGAAATTCGTAAGGGCCAGAAAAAAAAAAGGAAAAAAAAGGAAAAAAAAGGGGTGTAATGACAACAGGGCTATACCGTCTTACTCCGAATAGAACGTATGGTCGTTAATGCTGCATCTGGACTGAAAGCTGCACCAAATACGGACATTATGACCGTACGATCTATTCGAGGGAAGAAGGCAGGCGCATTGATCACTTTTTTTCAAACGGGGGGGACTTGAAACTTTGATTGATATCTGTCATCTTTCACCATATCTGTCAATCTCTCTCTCTCTCTCTTTTTTTTTTTTTTTTTTTTTAACCTACTTTCAACCCCATCCCTTTTCTCAACGAGTAGTCTATATGTGATCCGAAATCAAATCAATCAACCAGCAACCCCCCAAAAAAAAAAAAAAAAAAAAAAAACCTCGAGTGCATGGGTGGCTGCTATGGCGCCTGTCTCTTATACACATCTAGATGTGTATAAGAGACAGGAATACATCATGGCAAAAGAGCCGTGGATTCTGAACATGACACCGCTGTGCTGGA